AAATCCACAATTTCTTCCTATTCAATTCTAACTACTTCTAAGAATTACTTCTGTGTAGGATAAAGCACGAGACTGAGGTTATGCTGGGGAAAGAAAGACTGAAGAAAATAACCCGAGAGAAAGAAAAACCGAGGCCGACAGGCCGAGGGTTTTCTGTCGAGGGTTTTTTCTGAAGTCTTTCTTCCCCAGCATAACCGAAGTTGAGGACTTTATCTTGCTTATAAACTGTCTATGTTTACATGTACGCAAGATGAGAATATCCCAGAATTCCCACAAGAAAAAACTTGACAAACGAGACTAAGTTCTAATACACTTAAATATCGGCAATCCGATGTTCTAGAGAGTAGATTATGGGCTTGGCATGTTAATCAATGTCTAAATAATAGTTTATATAATACTGGACGCAGGGAGCAGATTTGGCTCTTACATAATGCATCTTTAACCCGTTTAAAGTTAAATATCACAGTCGCATACTGTCCTGAAGTAAAATCATACAACACAAATATTGAGCACGGAAATCGAATCCCGCTCATTCCAGATTAGATCCATTGTGCTATGGGTGAAATTTTGTCTGAATAGCGGCCCTACTGCAGAGTCTTGTATCGAATTCCAACTGTTTTACGTGCACGCCAATGTGTACACGGTTCCTCAGCTTTACGTCCCATCCGACGACTATGCGTTGTCCCTTGCAAGACCCTCACCGTCCTACACCACTGTCAAGGGGGTGGGTGGAGGAGCAGAAAACTGAGTGAACTTTCTAGGTCATCACATTGATTGAACAGGTTACCTCCCCTTTACTCACTGAGCCTCCGCAGTATTAATTACTTACTTAATACGTGCTTCTTCCTTCAATTAACTGGACGAAACAGCCCTTTTAGAATAATCGATGTTTTTCTCATTCTGATAGGTCTTTAAGAAAAATCGAATTCATTCAATATAAGTTGTTTATTTATTTGAAATCAACGACATAAAACACTAAAACAACAGACATTTGCGATTTAGTAATTCAATCCGTGGTTACCTCGATTAGAACTCTTGTCAACAATACAGCCAAGGATGTTAGCGAAGGTCATGAAGAAAGTCTTCATGATTTAAACCTTTATTTTTCTTCCTTTTTTTTTCTTTTTGGTTGTATTTCGTTAACCTTCTCGTTGAAACTAGAATCAATTTTTAAATCAGATTTGAAGAGCTAACTAAATGATGTCTGAATTGAAGACGAAAGATAGCACTGTCGCAAATGAATAACTTTTATGAAAGTTTATTGATTACTGCAATACTGGCAAGGAAGTAAGAAATAATCTGTACCCGCCCATGTAAAAATAACTTGCTGCACTTTTGTCGTTGCAAGAATGTTAAAATTCTTTATTATATATGACTATCAGAAACAGTGAAGAGCCACTCGGCAAACCTCAGCAGGTTCCAGTACCCTACATCTAGCCTCGACTGAATGACGAAGTCCGCCATTGGAACTATACTTTCAAGTTCCAGGATTAAAACGCTTCCCAATGCACGGGCTATTTCGCTGTTCCCATATTTGACATGATTCAAATTATCAAATATATGTGTTATTTTGAACTGACCAGAATCTGGCTTCTTATTATTATATGGGCCTTCGGTTGTTAATTGTGCGACTTTTAATAGCTGTAATTATTAGATGGGATAAATGGTGTGAGAGATGGGGGTTGGGAGGTGGAGTGAAAAATTATAGACTTAAAACTCTCACACAAATCATTTTGAACAAGGCATGTAAGGAATCTGACTTAGGAAAGACATGAAATTCTGTTCCAAATTCTCTCCCCTAAACCTCGTATCTCTAGGCGTGAGCGTTAATACTTTCCACGGATGTATGAAAAGACATTTTTTGTAAAATAAAAATTTAAAAATTCTAAGACAAATATATTGTGGTTCATCAAATAGAATATCGTATGGAATGTAATGAGGAGAAATTTATGAAAACATTTAATCTTTTTCCCAGGTCAAATATCTTATGGAACGTCGTGACGTATTTGAGATGCGAAATGTTAACAGTGATTATTTGAAATTTTATTCCCAGAAAAATTCACTAGTGAGCTAAAATTCTTCATTTGATGAGTCGGTTGAATTTAAGTTTCCTTTCCCGTTACGAAATCTCATAACTCCATGTTTCTAGGCTGTGCAACCAACCTTTGAGTTTGATGTTACTACACCGATTTGTAACATTTTTTTATATTACAGATTCACAATATCATAGTACATGGTATATTATAAGAGAGAGAGAGAGGGGGGGGGGTAACGTCCATTCGACACAAAATAGGTAATTTCGGGACTAACATATGGTTTTATTTTTATTTCAATAATTCGCTTGCGCGTAGGCGTCTATATAGCAGTGGGAGGAAACCGGAGGACCCGGAGAAGACCCACGAGGTTGGACAGGCGACCCTACTCCTTGTCACGTACAACCGGTGATTCGAAACCACGCCAGATGACTCAATGACAGGCTTCATGATACAGCGTCGAACGTGCTAACCATTCGGCCATCCACCCCCATATAACATAGAACTAGACTATTTTGTAATAACAAAATAGTTACGAATACATAAATAATATATTATATAAATAATATAATATATAAATAATATAATAATATATAAATAATAAAATAATATATAAATAATAAAATAAAGATGCATTATGTAAGGTTTAGATAAAGAGCTGGTCGTTTTCGTTATAATATTTTTAAAATAGATAATGAAAAAACAATATATTGAAAATTTTAGTCAAATTACCTCATTCTGGGTGTTACACAAAAACACATACTTATGGAAAAACAGCTACTTATTTATTTGGGCGACGTTTCGAGGAGTATTATCTCAACGTTATCGAGTATTAGCTTGATAACGTTGAGAAAATACTCCTCGAAACGTCGCCTAAATAAATAAGTAGCTGTTATTCCATAACTATACTATTCAAAAAAAGTAGGGGATATTTGATTTTGGGGGCATAATACTAAAATATGCAAATGACTACGAAAAAAGTCACTATAGAACCTAACAGAAGAAACATTTCCAGTTACATGTGACGCCCAAACGCACCAATAGCTACCGCATGGAATGCAGGTGATGCTTGGGATCATCATGGGGGTCCAACCCAAGATTTGCACGACTCTGACTTTGAATGTTACAGTCATTGTGGCATTGAATTCCAGGGTGGAAACATCAGTTTAATTGTTTTAGTGACCAGAAAACAAATTTTGATATGCGTCGGCTTACCCAAAATGAAAGGTTACGTGCCCTTGGCATGCTACAGATCGGCACAACACAGGCGGTTGTGGCGCGGACGATGAATGTTTCTCAGTCTGTCATAAGCAGGCTATGGTCCAGATACCGTGATACACAATCTGTACAGGACAGACCACGCTCAGGTCGACCAAGGGCGACAACTCAAGCCCAGGATCGATTTATCCGTACCTTGGCCTTGAGAAATCGTGTCATCACAGCAAATCAGATCAGCGCTCGTCTTCAAACAGACACTGGTGTGAGAGTGAGTGGCCAGACGATTCGGAATCGACTGCATAGGGGTCACCTTCGCGCCCGACGTCCTCGCGTGATCCCTTGTTTGAGAGATCATCACATTCAGGCAAGACGTCGTTGGTGTAGGGATCGTCAACACTGGGATAATCGACGCTGGAGCAATGTGATGTTTTCAGATGAGTCAAGGTTCACTGTTGATTTTTTGGACAGACGTAGGAGGGTGTGGCGTCGTCGAAACGAGCGCTTCCAAGACGTTAACGTCATCAGACATGATCGATTTGGGGGTTGTTCTGTTATGGTGTGGGGAGGCATCACTGTTGCTGGAAGAACGGCTTTACATGTTGTTGCAGGGCGTGTTACAGGCCAGTACTACCGGGACAACATCTTGGCAGTCCATGTTGTGCCGTTCGCACGACGTCATGGCCGCCGTTTCATCTTCCAGGATGACAACGCAAGATGTCACAGGGCCAGGATCGTTACAGGTTACCTCCAACAACAGAACATCACCACATTACCTTGGCCAGCACTGAGTCCCGACCTCTCCCCCATCGAGCATGTCTGGGACATGCTTGGACAGAGGTTACGTCAACGTCAACAACGTCCTGCCAATGTCCAAGAACTTGCTGCTGCGTTGCAACAGGAATGGGACAATCAGGGCCAAAATGACCTTAGACGTCTCATTAGGAGTATGCCACGTCGGATCAATGCTTGTTTGGCAAACAGAGGAGGATTTACCCGTTACTGACTTGGTTGTGATGCTGTGGTAACTTTGCTGTTTGACCCCGGGTATCATTTTACCCTTATAATGGTCAGTCTGTGCCTTACTTAGTCTAACGATCATTTGGAATAAATCGATGAATGTGAACTTCATTTCATTTTGTCATTTGTTTCTTCGTCAGTTTCATTAGGTGACTTTAATAACACTTAAAAATCAAATATCCCCTACTTTTTTTGAATAGTATATGTGTTTTTGTGTATTGCTCTATCCAGTTTCTAAATGCCTCTAAAAGATTATCATTCTGAGTGAAGCTACGACTATTTGAAGAATAGTTTACATTTTCATTGATACCGTTGTTACGATAATAAACAAAGTCTCGATTATCCATTTTTAAATTAAATTATCATATAGCGACCGTGTTTCAATGCGTTCAAAATCACAACCACCCGATGGTCTAGATAGTTAAATATTTGCTTGTCAGATGAGTAAATAATGTCTAGGTGAGGCTAAGAAAGATCTGCAAAAGGCAGATTTGGCTCATTCACAATGCATCTTTAAGCATAATGTCTACACTAAGAGGAATATATATTAGGAGATGCTTATATAGTGTATGCACTATACCCCACCATCACGATTCGCACTACGATAGAAATCGTGGTTTTAATAGTGGAATAATCGTGGTGATCCTATCAGGTCTTATCATATATATTGAGGTCGCAGGACATTGGGAACCTGCATTATCATCAACATAGGGTGCTACATATTGTTATGTTTCATTCGACTACCTCATGATTATCTCTTCTGTTTTTCTTTCGTAAGCCACACAGCATCTGAACAAGGATATTTGAAAACTTTTTGTTCATTACTGTGTACACTACAAAATTAGCAGAGGAGTTACAGATCTCAAAGAACGAGATTATGGAGCTAGCTGCGCGATATTCAATACGGAATTCTCCACGTAGTAAGGACCTTTTATCTATCCACGATAGAGCAAGGAAAATACTTCCGGGAAGAGTACATACGATGTATATAGAGACAATAGTCATCAACATCTTGGTCATTGCCTGTAAGTCATTCTCTGTATTCGCGTTTTGTGTAGTATGTGTGACATCTTTCAGCCATTTCTTCCTTTGACGCATCTGCTTGATAATTGCTATTGAAAGGGTGGTTATAAGAAACATGGGCAACACTCGCAAAGCTACGGCTAGAAATACATGGCTGTAAACATTAAAACATTGTTGGTTCTTCAAATAGAATGGTTGATATGTCAATCGTGCCATGGTTCTGTTCTTAGTGTCGTCATAATACAAACTAACTTTAATCACACCAAAGCCCACCGCAAGAAATCCGATTACGATTACTGTAACAGCTACTACAGCAAAAATCATCCTTTTAGGAGTTACCCACACTTTCACTTTTAGAGGCTTGAAAACGGCAATAAATCTTTCACAGCATATAACCAACGACAAAAAACTGGATTTACGACTGGTTATGAGCTCCAATATCACCGGTGCAGTGAGCATTACACGATCAATAGTTTGGGCTGTGAGTGGATCAGCTTTACCTACAAGACACGACATCCTTCTCATAAATGCAATCAACAGGAACAATATATCTATGAAAGCCAGATAGGCAAGAACAATGTTGGTACTGCACTGTCGCATGTTTTTGCCGCAAAGAATAACCAAGCTCAATACGTTACCAATCCACCCGAACAGGACTACTGGTGGAAGTAAATAACAATTTACCGCCGATAGAATGAGATCTGCTGTCTCTTTTGTAATGTAGCCCCCACTACCAGCAACATTATTGTTGTTGGAATACTGGTCATCTATTGTAGAATTAATTTGACTATCATTCATTGTGGTGAATGAACTTCCAAATATTTCCAGAGGATTTAATGTTGTATTAAAAGTCATGGTTCCCAGTTGGATTACTACAAAAGAAATAAATTCATTGGCACGTTAATTTATACATAGTAATCAAAACCCTTATTGACATACATTGTGACCCATTACAGCTTTGTCCAATTCACCTATTCATTATTACTAGCGAGTCAACGTTGTATAGATCCCCGGGCAAATCAGTGCACTGGGTCCCTATCTACGCAACCACTAATAGAAATTAAAAAGGAAATGGTCGAAAAAATTAAACATATACATGTATTTTATTGTATTGCTACTTCCAACAAAATCGACGTTGAAACATTAAAAAAAGTCTGCACAGCAAAGATTAATTGGCACAAAAATGTGAGCCTTGAGCTTTAAAAAAAAATAAAACATATGAATGGTAATCAATTGGGTAAAAAATACAGACGAAGATGGCACAGTATGAAATTATTTATTATATATCAAGTGTTTAACACAAAAATTTGCGAAATATACTTATGAGTGAAAGCCGGTTCATTGTGCTTCGAAGCAGACTTTTTTAAGTGTTCTTAATGATCTAAGATTCAATCTTTAATAACCAATGGCAACAAGATATCACATCATTGCCAAGTGAGTTGAAGTGAGGCTGACATAACCGCTTTTACGTTATATATCGCGAGATCCATATGTAATACTATAGAGCTTATTTTAGTTCTAAGAAAGGTGTTCTGTTTAATATAGAAATTCTTTACCTACATGATGTGTGACGAACACTAGGGTAATGAAGTAGCTTGCATTATTCTACTACTATCTTAGACTAACCCACCGACAGTTATGTCAGTATACATTGCTGGAAGTAGGGTACTATAGTCCAGTCATCTCGTGCACGGATTAGTACAATTAACTAGAATAGTGTTGACGTAAAACGGTGCCTATACGAAACACTAACCCCTAAATGGTAGTTGTTCCGCCATAATAGATGACGCATTATACTTTCTATATAGGAGAGAGCTGGTTTGATTTACCCCCAGATATCATGATGAGACCGTAGGGAAGACATCATTCGGAGCTCGGGAACATTAAACCCATAGCCTCCTCGGATTAGAGGCTAGGATGAACACATCATCCTAGTGTCATATCCCTAGTGTCACAGCCGTTTTTATTTGGTACCGCCACACAGGATAGTGTTACACATACACATACAGTACATGCATCGTAATGGTGGAGATAAGAGTTTGCACTGAAGTGGTGGCGGAATTTATACTTTAATGTTATTCATGTTAATTTACTTTTCAATGCATAATATTTTTAACCCTAGAAAACCATTTACTTGGCCTGTAATGAACTTCAAAGCTGAGTACCAGATCAGCCATAATTTGTTTTCTATCAAATTAATACCATATACCATCTGGTGTCGTAAGCTTTCTCGATAACGAAAAAAATGGCAACTAAATGTTGGATCGGGCGGTGAAAGCCTTCCCTAGAAATGTTTTCTGAGACCGAAATACACAATAAAGATCACATATTGGCTTGATGTGCTCAAGGTAACAAATGTACCTTCCACTGTTCTGTCTCTCGATGATCTTGCAAAACGATCGACCGGGAACGCAATGACAGTACATGTAATTAGAAATGTCACAAACACTCCATTGATGATATATCACGTGCACAAAGGGTTCATGAATTTGAACGTAAGCTGGTAGATTAATACAAAAATATACCATCGAAATACGTCATCTATCAAGCACACAATCTTTAAAAGCGAAGAACTATGACATTAGCCCAGGGCACAAAGCATCCTTCAAAACACCATGTCGCAACCCCGTTGGTAAAAGCCATGCATTTGGTAAAGACAATGTCACGCGTTTGGTAATATAGCGACGAATTTTGTAATATAATAAGCCGCAAAAGAAACGCCAGGTTGGTATGTTACTCTGAAAAGACGCATTGCATAAAACTTGACAAATGTTTTTATTGTATATTTATGACCACATCTCCAACTTTACCTGAGCAATAAGTCTCCTTCCAAACAAATAAATGAACCCAGGAAATGTTCTCAAAAACGCAACCTGACTTCTGAGATGGTAATGTGTTCTCCATGATTTTCATGTAACTCGTGCTGCACGTGCTGTTCACCGGGACCAGACCTATAAAATGCACCCCATACCTGGTTGAATCATTCACACTACAACGTCAGCAGCATGCCACGACTCACGACAGCTCAGAGGAACCAGGCGCTTAATGACTCGACGCTGGTCACACTGCCCAAACCGTTGCCAATCACTTCCAGGTCAATGTTCGGACCATCATGTGCAGAATCCCTTCACACAGACATCTGAGACAGCACGTCAGACAGCGGGAACGCACGGAAGACTCATCAGAACTGGCGATACAGGCAATGGAGAACTGTTCTGTTCACAGATGAGAGTCGGTATTGCGTATCAACTGCCGTTGGCAGGACCAGAATATGGCGTCGACGTGACCAGCGTTATTCTGACCAATGTGTCATGGAACGAGACTCATGGGGAGGTCCAGGCATAATGGTTTGGGGTGGAATCAGCCTGAACAAGAGAGTGGGGCCTGTGGTGTTCCAAAGTCTTGGTACAGGGAGAGGAGGCGGCATAACAGCAGTGCGCTGCATAGATCAAGCTCTCTGGCCCCAGGTCATACCACATTTCGCACGTCATCGAAACAACGTTTTCCAGCATGACAACGCCTGTTCCCACACAGTCATAGTTACTCGGGACTTTATACAGCAGAACGGTGTCAACGTTATGCACTGGCCAGCCCTTGGTCGGGACTTAAACCCGATTGAACATCTTTTGGATGAAATTCAGAGAAGACTTAATAACGTCGTACCGAGACCAAACACAGCCGATGATGATGATGATGGTTAGTTGTATTTTACGTCCGCTTCCACCGAGGTGATATCGCAGACAATGACGTGTTATGTGTACAAGGTGCATTAATTTACAATGTGATTAGTGAGAAATAATAGGATGATTAGGTTTTCATATATATGTACATCTGACAATAAACAACAGTAGGATAACATGTGCAAAGGACGAAACAGGTGCCAGTAGACATTTACAAACATGCGATTTGACGGAACAGACATGGACAAAGACGGACATTTTCACAGACATAGACATATTATGTACATATATATATATATTTTGGGTCGTTTGGGTTGGTCTGGTCGTTCTGTCCGGTAGAATGGCAGGGCGGTGCAACTCTACCTTGGGGCTTTGTTGGTGAGTTTGAGTCCTGGTCCATTCTTCCTTCCATTTGGGTATGTTGTCCGGTATGGTAGCATTTTTACATCTTTATTTATGTTATTCATTCCTTTTATTGTTGGTTCTCTGAAGGAAGAATCCAGCACCTGAAAAAGAAAGCTAGAGAAAAGAGAGTATCTGATCTTACTGTGATTTTTTGGTTATTTCGTCTAGTAAGGCTTCGGGGGGGGGGGGGGGGCGGGGAATCATTATAAACTAATAATAAAAATAATAAGTGAGAGTAAAAGAAAATAGAGTGTTAACTGAATTGCAGATAAATAATAAGAATAATAAATAGATATTAATGGTAATAATGAGAATAATAAATTACTCATGAATTATGTTAATGGTAGATTAGTGGTTTTATTATAAATGTAGGGAGGTTTACGCTTCCTTCTAGAGGACATTTTTGCGCTCCACCCTACTGTTGATTAATTGGTTTTATTAGTTGGTAGATTAATGGTTTTATTATAGATGTAGGGAGGTTTACGCTTCCTTCTAGAGGACATTTTTGCGCTCCACCCTACTGTTAATTGATTGGTTTTATTAGTTGGTAGATTAGTGGTTTTATTATAGATGTAGGGAGGTTTACGCTTCCTTCTAGAGGACATTTTTGCGCTCCACCCTACTGTTAATTGATTGGTTTTAGTTGATTTATTATTTTTATCGGAGTTATATTAGTTGTGTAAGGCGGTTTACGCTTCCTTCTAGAGGACGTTTTTGCGCTCCATCCTACCGTTAGTTGGTTTTATTAGTTGATTTATTAATTATATCGGAGTTATATTAGTTGTGTAGGGCGGTTTACGCTTCCTTCTAGAGGACATTTTTGCGCTCCACCCTACTGTTAAATGATTAAATTCATTATTTTATATATATCGGAGTTATATTAGTTGTGTAGGGCGGTTTAAGCTTCCTTCTAGAGGACATTTTTGCGCTCCACCCTACTCTTAATTGATTATATTCATTATTTTATATATTTGGTCATCCCTATGTTCTCAATAAAATCCCAGACAAGTTGTGATGTCCAGTGTCTATCGTCGGGTTGTGGAGAAAGCAGTGATTTGAGACAGAGGGTGTTTCCCCTCTCTGCTAGATTCTTAATTACAGATTGACGTTCTTTGTTCAATTGATTGCAGTCAATTAGCAGGTGAGACGTGGTCGCGATTTGTCCACATGGGCATTTAATTGGATTGAAGGTGAAGTCTTTTATTACGTTTATCGTTTTAAGCCTCGTGATGAGTTTGCATATTTTGATTGATGGATGATTGGTGTAAACCTTGTCTACAAGATTGCTATCAATTTGATAGCGATGAGTATTCTCTTGTTTTAGACGGGTTTTCCATGCATTTTTAATTTTATCTTTGGCTATGCTTGTGAATTCTTGACTGCTGTATTCTAAATTTTCTATATCAGTTAATGCCAACCCTTCCTTGGCTAGCTTGTCAGCCTGTTCATTGCCGAAGATATTGATGTGGGAGGGGATCCATGCAAGGACTACCTCTCTTCCGTTATTCTTTATTGTTTGAATAATATACCTAATTTGGTGGATTATGTCCTGTCTGCTTTTGGAATAGTCTGATTCGATGGATTTAATGCTACTTAGTGAGTCTGATAGGATAACGGCTTTTTGGTGTTTTTGGGTGGCAAGCCATTCTATTGCAGTTTTAATGGCCATCAATTCTGCGGTGTACACAGAGCAATGTTCTGGTATCCCTTTCTTGATGTTTAGCTTTGCTTTGGGGATGAAAATGCCGTACCCTGTTAGTCCCTGTGTATTATTTTTCGACCCATCTGTATAGATTTTAATATAGTCTGCCCATTTTGTGTCTATCAGCTCTAGTGTTAGTGCTCTAGCCTCTATGGGATTATCGTGTTTGTTTGTAACGTTGATTAGGTGCGTATTGATGATTGGATTGCTTAATTGCCAGGGTGGAGTGACGGGATAAGTTTTTGTTTCTATTATTGTCCCTTTTAAACCGTGTTTATTTAAGACATCGTTTGACATTTGCCCGAATGTCATAGGACGCGTATTTTTCCTATAACCTATTCGTTTGAATTGTTGGAGGCACTTATATGTCGGACATTTTTCTTTTAGCATTTGCAGTTTGCCCCAATACTTGAGTGACAGTTCCTCTGGATTGCGCCTGGCTTTTGTGAGATTGTGGTTCCAGGTGTCAATGGCGTTCACCAATCGTCTGGTCTACTCCATGTACAGACGCTGCGCTGCTGTTATTGACACTCGCGGCGGACGCACCAGATACTCATGGTGTAAAGTCCGTGTAGGGACTCCAAACCTTCTCGTAATGTCTTGGAATTGTGATGAATTAATCACTTATGTGTCAACATACTGTTCACAAAAAAATGCTTTGATCTATTTAGTAAGTCATTTTCTAGAATGATTTGATTAAAGTGTCTCTCTGATTTTAAAATCATACTGACGGCTTTTTGGGGTTTTTTTTTGTTTTTTTGTTTAAGTATATTACGAAACTCGTTGCCATTCAGTTTGGTATTATAAATTTGGTCTAAATATGTGAGTGGGCCTTTATCTTCAGCATAACATTTTAATTTTGTGATATAATTCATCATAACCGTCGTCTACGACATCCCCATCGTCGCTATCATCATCATCATCATCGTCGTCGTCGTCGTGATTGTCATCGAGGTATTTTTTATCAAAACTATCACTAATCCGAATTTGTTTTCGTGATATTACAAAGCCTGTCGCTGTACTCATTAATAGTAAAGTATGCTATAACAATTACAAGAAATACCACTCAACGCGTTTGGTAATAGCGATGGGTTTTGTAATATTACTCAACACGTTTATATTCAATAAATCACTTAGTTTTGTGGATTTTAATCACTAGAGTTTACGAAGTTTAGAAGATGATCCCCTCATCTTTATCATCGTCATTCTAATGAATATCCCTTGTATCACA